CATTAAATAAATCAGTGTTATTGTTAAAAATTTATTTATTTCTCTATTGGATCATGTTATTTAAATCATGGTAGCTATATGTTAAAATTAATACCGCCCAAATATCTGTCAAATCTGAAAGAAGAAAAATCATTAGACGCTTAAACTTAATTCACATTTAAAATCGGTTCAAGTTATTGGAACACTCTTTATATATAACTTTTTGTTTTGATAAGCAGTTGTAAAAGTTTTCGTTCTTTTCTCTCTGATCGACATCTCCCATGTCCCTCCAAGACGTAGGCAATCTCTCTCTACACAAATTCTCCTAGTTGCTATAACGTCTCAAGAAAATCATTTTAGTGGTTTGTCCTTGCCTTCTCCATATTTTGAATTCGGTGTCGAACGGCCCTGATATTTAAAATGTCATTTCTCCTTCGGACATAAGCGATATGACTCTTACATTTTCTTTATTAACTGCAGATTTCTATGACTTTTTGGCAAAGATGAACAAGTGATTTCACGTTGCCTTCCCAACCTTTTGAATATTAGTAGGATTTTTTCTAGAATAAGTACCACCCATGTCTAGAGATTCCACTCTATCCTGCTAGTTGAAATGCTGTATCTCATCAGAGCGCAGGCGTTCTGAATTTCAACTAAACGTGTTAAAATGCTTATTACAGATCACGATATTTTCCTGAGTAACAACTAGAAAAATATTTACACTATTTACATTGTTTATTGAAAAAAATAATGGAAAGGTTCCCATTGCCTTCTATTTGCATTGAATTCAACGCAGTTATTCTAGGCTGTATGTGAACCAAGATTAGATACTCCAATCTAATTTGCTATTTGATATGTCTCTTCTGGAAATAGATGATTAAATTTTGTTTCTTATATTACAATGGTCATGGCTTCTTAAGAAAGAGTTTAGAGTGGTTCCTTATTTTCTCTTTAAGGTTTTAAATTCCTTGTAATACTCCTGTTAGACTAACAGCCAGCCAAGTCCCGTGATCTTAGTTTACGTTAATATTCTCCCATATCTAGAAGAAGAAGAGATAGATTTATACTCTTACAAGGGTATTTCTGCGAAAATGAACGCATTCTCAGCTCAGTAAAGTTGCCTCCAGGTGTGTTTTCTATAAATGCCTTTATGGTAATTGTCCCGATGAGCTTTTGCTATGGTACCCAGAGTTAATAGATTTAAGCGCTGTACAAGAGGTTTAGTAGAAATGAAGTTGAGTTGACTAGATGTTATCGTAAGTTACTTTTCTCACACTTCTCGCTTGTGGAACACCCTTCCGGTCCCATGCTTTCCAGCCATCTTTAATATGCAAATATTTAAATGCAATGCTAATCGGTATCTACTCTCACTCTGATTACTCTTCTGTATTCGCTTTTCTGTTTTCTAATTTTTCCACACCCAGTAACCCTTGCGTCTTAGTGGCTTTTACTGGGGTAAACTGACTAGGCTATATTTGAAATCTGGTCAACGATTTCTCTGCCCAGTGATTTTTCCACACAATTTATCATATATATATATATATATATATATATATATATATATATATATATATAAAAAAATAAATATATTTATATATATATATAATAAAAAATATATATTTTCCACTAATATTATCTATATATATATATATATATATATATATATATATATGTGTGTGTGTGTGTGTGTGTGTGTGTGTGTGTGTGTGTGTGTGTGTTGATATAATAGGAAAGAACTGTTAGATTGATGATCTTAATTCTTGTTTTTATTTACAAAAGAAAAAAGTAACACTGCTTGCAGAAGTAGAGACTAAATTATAATTATTTTTTCAAAAAACATATGATTCCGTCGCGACACAGAAATAACCATGTTTCGAAACTGGTAAAAAACAATGAAGCCTTATAAAATTAGCCATTGTAGCCAGACAAAGCAAAAATAAAATAAAAATAAAAACCAAACCCTACCTTACACGATTCTAAAACCTTGACATATAGCAAACCCCCTACTTTCATCAAAGACGAGACCCCTAGATAATAAAAAAAAATAAACCCAGATTACACCTCCATTTCAAAAATATAAATGATTAAAATATTTCATTCCTTAGTTATTCCAAACATCTCTTGAGGATGAAACAGCCATCCAATAGTTAAGGTTTAATATTGAAATTAAACTTGAATTCGGATGAACAGTTTCCAAACAGTAATTTCTGTGTCGAGATGGAATCATATTTTCTTAAAATAACTAATAATATATATATATATATATATATATATATATATATATATATATATATATGTGTGTGTGTGTGTGTGTGTGTGTGAATAAATAGATGGATAGATATTCTAAATTGACCTCATCTTCATTCCCCCCTTTTCCCCCTTTTCAATATGTGTTCCTTTATTTACATTATTACATATAAACAGCCTGTTTGCATAATAAGTATTCTTCTTCCGTTCTGAAGTTGTCTTCATTTTTAGACTATCACACATCTTTAATTTTTTTTTCTTTTACTTCTTTTATTTATTTTTTTTTCTTTCTACACGACATTTTAGGTTTTACTAATTTTTTTTTCCCTCTCAAAGTGTCCATCCCGAAAATTTTCCCTCGTTTCCGCAGTTGATATTCCACTGGAATTTAGATTGACGCAAGGTTATGGGATTTTTTTTTTTTTTTTTGTGGTCTTTCGTCTCTGCTTGGTTAGGTGGAAATGACAATATTCCACGCACGTGATGGTTTTTTCACGCCTTTGTCATGAATATTTTAACGGAAAATTACAAATTTTACGCTTCACTGAAATTGATATACGCCTTCGGATAAAACAGCGTCTTGTGGCAAGCGTGCTTAAGACGTTAATACCAGTCAGGTGATGAAGAAGCTTTATATATTTAGTTTTTGATAAGGCTAAGCAAGCAAGGGTGGGGTCCGCGTTATCTTTTCTCTTTTATAGAGTGAAAGGGCATTTCAGTAATTACAGGATCATTCTGCTTTATTTCTTCCATAGCCGTCGTCATCAGCAATATCCTGATTATCATCATTAGCATCTACAACACGAATGAAAACAACATGGCCGCCATTATCTTGGTCATCAGCATTTTCTTCTTCTGTTTCTTTTTCTTTAATTACATCATCGTGATCATTAAAAATCGTCATTA